TGGCTGCGGTGGCACAGCCAAACACTGGCTAATATTGATTGGCATTGCCAATCGACTCAAAGTGATGTAAACTTAGCGACTGAGCTGACGACTGAATGGGGTACTGACATTTCAAAGCTGCCAGTAAATGGTTGGTTCACCCGGTAATCGCCAGCGACCTTGGACAGTGTCAATTGAAAGCATGAGTGCATTGCTCTCTGTCACAGATTTTCACCACAAAGTCTGCACATGACTTTTCTCATGCCACAGATCACATGCTTCACCAATATCTCATGTCACTCAGCCACAGACACAACACATAGAGATCAGATGATAGTCCACATCACATGTTATGGTCCAGACCTGCGGATGATACAGTCAGACCTGTCTGTTCCAGGATACAATAGAGGCACCCATTTGGGAACAAAGGGAACAAGGACTATTGTTAGGGATTGTCTAAGCAATCAGCTCAAGGTATAGCCGTTACCACGATAGAATGGATCGTCTCACCGTTGCTATGGGAGAACATCGATCTTCTCACCTATTGTTCTACTTACAGATAGATCTTCTCACTTATTGTTCCATGTATAGTTTAGTTGCCTAGATACGTAGATAGCCAATCATCTATTTTGTAGTAGTGGTACGATGAAGATTATATAATCAGGCTCCTGTATGTGTATATAAGACCAGCTATGTAGAGGACGAAACTTCAGATTGTTTTTCTTCATCTACCACTGTAGCACCCACTGAGCCTACCAGTTCCACCATATATCTATCACCTTTCCAGACACTTGCTTCACCAACAAGTAAGTGTTAGGCTCTCAAGCCACTTAAGGGATCAGGGGGATCAGGGCGGCATGTTCCACGTGACCAATTCTTTTTTAGTCTTTTTGATCTCTTGTCCAGCAGTGCTGTGACACTCTCAAAAGCACAAAATTTGGTTTCAAAAACTTACATTTGAGGCTAATATTTGCGTAAGGAGGTCAGTTTCACCGCAATATGGATTACAGCAATGGAAGCACTTGCGCATCCCACGATCGCATCAGCATATGCTAGCATTGTGATTGTGAGTACTCGATGAGCTGTGAAAGGACAGCAAATAACTGAGTGAAATGAAGGGGGAACAGTGTGGGGAAGGTCTGCATCTAGAGGTGATGCAAGAGCCAAATGTAAAAGATGGTAAAGAGATGGATCAACATGGCAGCCAAGAGGCCTGCAGCTATGTAGAGCATATGCGCTGGAGTGATGTATGTGAGATATGCATGATAGAATGGTTCCGGAGTGAGTCTAATGACTTCCGGACAGAGTACAGGAATCTCGGGAGGTGGGCGTACCATCTCAGTGACAATGTTCCAGTGGTCGGTCAAGCGTGTTCAACAGTGAGAGCAAAGAACTTGATTAGACTGAGAAGTAGAAGCAGTAGGTTGTGGAGAAAAGGAAGACCACTGTCTCTGTGCATCGCTGCGCAAGCCTCTTCGCATACTCTAGCTCGTAGATATGCCATCCGAGCTCCTCCCCAAACTACCTAACTACACTACCCTTTTATACTATGCCCTCAGAGCATGTTTGCCCGAGACTCAATCACACATTGGACCATGCTTGGTCCTGTAACTCATTCCCTCACTTTGCTTGTCTCGTTCCAAATTCCTTGGAGGGCCTGTTGCTGTGGACCACTCCATCGCATCTCGTTCCAAATCCATTGGAGGGCCTGCTGCTGCAGACCACTCCATCGTGTCTTGTTCTGAATCCCTTGGCTTCTACTCACCCATGTTGCACTCCACTCACTGCACTCCCTCCGAGCCCACCCCAGTGGTCTTCCTTTTCCACAGAAGTTCCCTTGTCCCCATTCTGAAGATACCCCATCTGCTCTTCGGACACCCTGCCCATGCTGCCCCAATGGTTTCACCTGTTTCTCAGCCCGTGCTCATATGCTGGGTTTTCCTGGCATTATCTCAGACACGGTCTCCTGTCGGTACCTCATCCGGTCCACAGCTGTGGTCCTCAGACACGTCCACATCTCAACCCACTCACCCCTTCTTGTGCCCCTCCCAGCCATCGCCACTCTTCACCCTATTCTTGTCTTGCCATGTCTCACACACCAGATGGCATTCCTGGTGACCAGCAATCTGTCTACACCCTGTGCATACATCGATACCTTCTGCTCCTCGAGGCTCTGTCTATGGAACGTGTACATGTTCTGTCCGGTTCACGTCCCACTATGGTTGAGTGGAATGAATGGCACCACCAAGTCCAATCCCTCCTGGTATGTGTCCTATATCTTCTTTTTCTTCTTCATTTGGATTGACCCATACCCTCAGGAGCTCGCTGACACCACCTGCACTGAGCTCACCCGGACTGGAATGCAGGTGCCACTGACCAACTCCTTTGAGTGGGTCAGTGATCTCCATGCCCTCACTGCCTTCCCTTTGTTGCATGACCACAGTTCAAGGTCAGCCATAATGGTTGGAGATCTTTTCTCGGACCCTCAATTGTGGCAATGCTTGCTTGATGCGCTCGGGTGAAGATCGTTGTGCCTCGATGTTCCCTTGTCTGAAGCTTCTGCCTCCCTTTTGCTCCAACATGGACAGCCTTCAGTGGTGCCATACATCTCCATGCCTGTAGAAGCTGGTGATGATCCAGACTGTATGCTGTGCCTGGAGGACTTTTCTAGAGGCGATGGTTGGTTCTGAGGTCGCGTCCTGAGGTTCAGAGTGCCCCATCCGTGTAGACGATCTCTAGCACAGACTCGATGTACCTGTCCCACCCTGAATGCAATGTACCTGTTCTGCTTCAAGCTTGCTGTCAAATGTTAGGGAGTGCAATTATAGTGAGTCAGCCATGCTGGCCACCTCACAGTGTATGACACGCCACGCCGAATACACAGTATGCACTACTGATATGAGTCGCACTTGGCCACGTGCAGCTTTCTCGCATGCAGACATACTCTACTATGTAGCGAGATTTTGTGTCTTAGGCAAAAGTGAAGTTCAAGCAGGAGGACAGCTGAGTGAAATATCAAAAATGCTATTACGCATGCTCTCGGACATGACTGGTCCGCTCAAGAAGTCACACAATCAAATGAATGCCATGAAGCCTTTCAACAGACAATTATATTATTATAACACCATAATCTCAATCTGCTCATATAGGAGTGCTCCTCCGCTCAAGGATGCCTACGCCTATGCAGGATGTGCAAGTAAATCGAGTGATACACTTGACGATCCACCCTCATATTACTATTATTTCATGTATTCATTGGAAGATACTCCTGTGAACAACCTGGATATGCTCATGTTGGGTCATACTTGTCGAATCTATACCATACAACTCATCGAGTGTTGAGGTCTTCATTGTAGGCATCTATCCATCAGGTGCAGCAAAGGCACGTTGCCTTGCTAAGCCCGATAGCTTGAGCTTTAGCCTGTGGCTTCGATTGCTGGTCCAGAGAAGACGCCTCATCAATGTCAAGGATGAGGTGGAGTTCTGCATGAAGAACAGTACTCAAATTGACTGGTGCTCCTGGGTTTATGTATAGCACGAGGGCATCAGGAATGTTATCAAATTGGAAGTTCATCTTGACTATGTTGCATAAGGCTTTTGAGATGTCATGGTCACCCTCTCCGGAGTTGATGAATGGGTCATCGACCCATCAGTAATGAATCTGTTCATCAGGGAAATAGATGCGTGCTTGCTTGAGCAGTATATATATGCCTTCCACATAAGCGGCCACATCGCAGACACATCTTCACAATTTCCACACCTCAAACTGCTGTTCCCTGCTGGAAAAGTCTCTGGGCAGGAAGACGGTGATATGCTCAACCACTTCCTGGCTGCCAGCTACCTCCTATCCTGTTGTGAAAGGCAGATCAGAGCTGTCCATCTCTGTTCACCTTGGGCCACAGTCAGAGGAACTTCAACTGATAACACTTGAGGGGCGGCTGCAAGTTGTTCGGTGTTGTGCTTGAAACTGAGCGATGAGCAGTGATTCTGCCTAGGGGAGTGTCCCCGACTCTGAGCAAGTCAAGAAGAGGATGGGTTATGTGGAATGGCTAGGAGGGCAGAGAGTGTCTCTATGGGACGGGTGGTCAAGGATCGAGGGTTGAGCAGTGATGTGGGTCTTCAGCTGACCAATCTTGTGGCGTGAGAACTATAGGCAGCTCTCCCCAGTGCTACGAAGGGGGTTTGGGTGCTCCCTAGGTCTCAGGGATGTCTATACTGGACTTCTCAGTGCTACGGACGAGACTTGGGCTCTTGCTGAGGCTACAGAGTCCGATGGGGATGGAGATTCGAGTTGCTAGAGCTCGTGACAGATGGCGTAAGAGCGAAAACAAGATGGTGTGAGAAAGGAAATGAGGTGGCATAAGAGAAAAATGTGGTAACGTGACTTATACTAGGCACTCCTTGAGTCGAGCTATGGGCCACTTATGAGGAGTGCTACCCTGCATGGTGTCGAGATGTAGATGAGTGATACTGGATAGGGCACACTGCCCTATTGAGATGAGGTGCCTAGAACTGAGCTATGAAGGGTCCACTCTCTTCTTGTTTTGTGGTAGGTACATGGGTCATTATATAGGTGTAAAATAGCACCTTCTAATGTAGTAGAAGATGTTTCCGATCCTTGCTCATGTTTTTGATTCTCTGAAACAGTCCCAAAATGCTCCCCACCTCTTCCCTATCATCGCTCACAGTCAGGGAACTGGAAGGTAGGGGTCCTCAAGGGTCCGATGGTCCGCTGCCCTGTGCTTCCCTCGCTTAGAGCAAATCTTCATGCTAATTTAGCCCAACTCGTCCTGCTCCATCCCTTCTCTTTGTCCTCGTAATCAGTGGTGCTAATATGCAGGTTCTAGCTCATCTCCGAGCCTCATGTATGCCTCTTTTTCGATATGAGGTTACTGCCCCATGTCCTTCTGAGTCAGGGGCCCTCGTTGTGGTTCATCCGAGCTGTTCTGCTTGACAGATATGCGTTATCGAGTCATGCGGCCCTCGGCTGCTCTTCCAGAAGGGTTTGAGTGCAGAATGTTTCAGTGTGTATCAACAGTGGAGTGCAATAGTTGGCTCAATTTCTCAGCGAGAGTCACGAACTTCTGTGATACTAAAGGGTCTACCTCGGGGCCCAGTTGGATCATGCTTCCCTGATAAATCTCTGCGATGATGTCACGGTCCTCCTCGCTGAGATGCCATATCTGAAATGGAGATTCCTGGCTTATCAGCCCATCTGCGAGGAAACCCTCCTCAATCTCCTTATCCTGAGACTGTGCCACAATCGCTTTCAAGACATTGATGAGTTTAGAGATTTGTTTGTGCAGTTTATTGATGCACCTCTGCATCTTGACATGGCAATGTGCGATGACGACCAGGATAATATCCATGACACTGCTAGCTCCTGCCACGGCATCGACGAGTTCCCTCAATGTGTCGTTGTCCTTGTGGGTGGGACAACAATTCTTCACCAACACGAGAGTTACAGTGACATTCTTGTCGAATGCAATGGTGATGTCATCTCCAGGCTGCCCAGTGGTCAGCCACAGAGCGATCACATCGAGAATGTGCAGATCGATTTCGCAATGGTGGCTTAGCAAGAATTGTGTCTGCGCCTTGCAGTGTTCGCAATGAAACTTGGGGCCATCGAGCATCTTTATGATCTGCAGTTGCACAGAAAGAATCTTCTGATCCTACAAAGTCTGAATCATGACTGATTCCTTACTAGTAGCTGATTGTGTGGACATTCTATCCAGAGAATATACATCAGTGCTCTTAAGTGGCCAGCGATGACACCATTACGTACGTGTGGACAAAACAAATATTTTAAAGAGCGCTTATCCAAGCAGAGGCTCACAGAGCAATGAGGGGTTGGATGTCGATATATAATATGGGAATTGAGATTGTGTCGCGCCATCTTTTATTCATTCAAGAACAGCATCGGCAAACACCGGCAAGTTGCTCACAGCTGAAAAATTCAATAGGTTGACGTTTCAACCCCAGTGTTGGCAAGATGCAACTAGCAGGTCTTGTCTGTCAGAATGATGGCATTTCAGCGTGAATCAGGGTGATTATGGCTTGTCCTCACTGTTAATGTGGCTATGACTAGACTCCCTTTCCCCCAGGCTCCTTCCCATCTCGCTTTTGGGAGTTTGAGGGGGCCCCATCCTAGGGAGGGTACACGGTGCCACATCTTAGACTGATCAGCCATGTGTCCGATCATGATGCGATCATTTAATTTGAACTCCTAACTCTTATCTTATTTCCCTACAACTCCCTACGTACAAGTTGGGCAGACTCCTAGGCCTCCCCATTCATGCCTACAGGAGTTTTAAGGGGGCTCATGTGAAAGGTGGTACATCGTGTTTTTGTACTATCAGCCACCTCAGCTACAATTTAGCCACATTTTCATACTCCGCACTGTTTCAAACTCCACAATCTTATGCCATAGGGAGTTAGAGGAGAATAAGATTGCGGAGTTCGAATGATATGATGCCATCATGATCTATCACGTGACCTTGATCGGATGTGGCACAGAATCCCTAGAATGGGAATGGGGTGCCCCCCTATCTTCCGGAGAAGGATGCGAAGGACTCTGTCATGGCACGCTGATGACAAAGATAGACAACCAAATAGAGAGTCCCCTTGACGGTCTCCTGGCTAAGAGCCTACAGCGACGAGCTGTGGTGATACGACGTGCCCACTGACAAGGAGTGCTAGTCGCAGAGTATGACTTACTGGCGAGGCAGAGGGTGCTATCACAAGATGAGAATGCAAATAGATTGTATAGCACACTGAGAGTGTCTGGTAAGACCCCTCTGTGATGGTAGTGGTGGACGAAGGAGAATAAGACTGAGGTCTCCTCCTTGTCTTGCTGGTCCTTATATACATGATTGTCTAGCTACTATACAGTACTATGTAAGCGAGTCACACGCTACTCTACTGGTCAGTGCTACAATCGTATGATATGTCCCAATTATCCTGATTGGCTGCCTAATAATAATCCACGGAGACGGAGCTCCTCTTGAGCACGCAATATGGCATCATGGCGATTGCGACATATGACACCATGCCGAAGAGTTCGATGTCACGTGACAATGCCGAGAGAGATTCGAGGTCATGTGACTAGATGCCTTTTATCTTATCTCTCATTAGGTCACGTGACTTCTTGTTCGACGCGAAATGATGAAAATAATATGCTTCTAATAGCATTCATTCCTATAATGACTTGTCAGGTAAAAACTGTGACATCACCCCCTTCTCAAGGTTTATCGTCCCAATGAGCCAAAGCCTTTGGCGCCTCATATGGTTCGCTTTGCGAGTGAACTATCTGCTTCAGAAATGATTCCTGGAGCATAACATTCACATATGAGTTGTGCGACACGATCACCTGTCCTGACCTCGAATGGTCGTATTAACGAGAAGCACCTTGATTTCCCCTGTGTAATCTGGGTCAATTACCCCTGCTGTGACATCAATTCCTTTGAGGGCTAGCCCACTTCGGGGGGTCACTCGAATGTATGTCCACTTTGGAGGATCAACCGCGAGTCCTGTGCCAATGAGCATTCTGGAGTGTGGGGGGATATCTATGTCTTGTATGGACTTGACATCCCAGCCAACAGCTTCTGCAGAACCCTTGTAGGGTGCTCAGGCATTGGGATGGGTGCAGAAGAAGAACATAAATTCATCAGGGTGGTCGGACAGAGCAATTTTGTGCACTTTGCATGTTCGCGGCTTTGCTCTTGGAGCGTCTGGGTGTGTCTTGTGGAATTCCTCTATTTTGTCTTTGACATTTGTGAGGTTTTCCAATGGTTCCCAAGTATTATCGCTGTGGTCGTAGTCCAACCATTTCACGAGATACTGAGTTTTGTTATACCTGACTCTTGAGTCCAGGATGTCCTCTACGTCCCACTCTTCCTCTCCATCAATGATGACTGGGGGGTTAGGGGGAGGTATGCGTCGAGGGATAGAGTCTTGATGGAACATTATAAGCTTAGAAGCGTGAAACACGGGGTGTATCTTCATGTCCGCTGGTAGTTGCAGTTTGAATGATATGACTCCAATCTTTTCGAGGATCTTGAATGGCCCATAGTTTTGAGTCGCTAGCTTTTGGCTTTTGACTTTGACGTGGAGGTCTTTTCCTCGAATAAGCACTTCGTCTCCTACTTTGAAAGGAACATCCTGCTTTTTAAGGTCGAAGTACCATTTCATTTTTTCTGCTGCTAATAACAAGGCGGCACGAGCTTGTTCCTGTGCTTGATCGTGGTTGTGGAATAGGTGTTCCAGGGATGGGTGTTGTATCCCTTCCAGTACATCTGGTGCCATGCGGGGGTGTCAACCATGCTCGATGAAGAACGGGGACAGACCGGTCGATTCTGAAGCTTGATTGTTGTAGGCGAATTCTGCTGTGGGCAATAGTGTAGCCCAGTCAGTTTGCCGGTAATTGCAGTACATGCGCAAATACTGCTCCAGGATCTGATTGACTTGTTCAGTCTGTCCATCCGTTTCAGAGTGATAAGCTGTAGACATCGTAGATTTAATGTGAAGTTTCTGGCAGAACTCCTGGAATAGTTTGGCTGAGAACTGTGTGCCCCTATCGGATATGATCTGCCGGGGAATTCCATGGAGTTTGAATACTTCAGTATAGAAAATCGATGCTACTTGAGATGCTGTTACGATGTCGTCTACTGGGTAGAAGTGTGCATGTTTGGTGAACCTGTCGACGACTACCAAAATGGCAGTCTTCTTTTCTCCCCTGTGGTCTGGGCTTGGTGGTAGCTGTGTAATCAGGTCACAGATAACCATTTCCCAAGGCCCTTCTGCTACTGGATTAGGTTGAAGTAGTCCATAAGGCTTCTGCTTGCTCGTCTTGTTTCTTTGACAGGTTACGCAGCCTTGGACGTACTTCTTAACATCAATGGTGAGCCCTGGCCACCAGTAATTCCTGCTAATCAGTTCTTGCGTCTTCCATCATCCGGGGTGTCCAGCCGTGGAGATGTCATGGTGTAGCTTGATCAGCTCATTCCGCAGCGTAGAGTCCTTTGGAACGTAGACCTTTTCTCTTCTGAGCAGCAATCCATGCTCGAAGTTCCACTCTTGGAGGTCTTTTCCGAACTCTCACTTGCCAGTTTTTAGTAGGTGCTGGTAACCTTTGGTCATTTCGTCATCTTGCAGTGCCGATTTCACTCCTTCTAGACGTTTTGCATCGTCAACTTCGGAGGAATGAGTGGCTGAGATCGCATGGATGGCAAAGTATTCAGGTCGAAGCAAAGTTTGCCCTGAATTGTCATTGCTCACCCCCTTCTCATGATCTGGCCTCCTGGACAGAGGATCAGCATGCATCATCATCTTTCCGGGGCGGTGATGGAGAGTAAAGTTAAATCTTGTAAGGTAAAGTGACCATCGAGCTTGTCATCTGGTCAGTGTCTGAGCTTGTCGGAATGTCACAGATTTTCACCACAAAGTCCGCACGTGACTTTTCTCACACGACAGATCATGTGCTTCACCAATATCTCACGTCACTCAGCCACAGACGCGACGCATAGAGATCAGGTGATAGTCCACATCACATGTTATGGTCCAGATCCATGGATGATACGGTCGGACCTGTCTATTCCAGGATACAATAGAGGCACCCATTTGGGAACAAA